AAGGGCCCGCGCGCCTTTCCTCTTAAAGGCACCGCGTCCCTTTGGCTGGAGGGTGCCGAAGGAATAAGGATCGGGCTGGTGTGGGCCGGAGACGGGGCCGGGCGGAGGAGCTGCAGCCGCCTGCAGCCCCGGGCCCTGCCCCTTGTCTAGTGAATGATCTCCGCAGGCTTTGGTCCCCTGATCACGGGGAAACTGAGGCACGGGGAGGTCTTGCCAGAGCTGCCTCGTGTTCTTGCAGGAGGGGGCCCAGACCTCCGGGCCAGACCCGTTCAAGCGGGACTGTGGGAGCAGGGGGGAGCCCCGAGCCCCCTCTCTAAGTAACGGGCTCAGAGCACGAGCCCGGGGCAGCCTCTGTGCAGGGCATGCAGCGAACCAGGCAGATAGGACAGGGAGCTGACAGCAGAGCAGCAGATTGGACAGGGAGCGCAGGACTGGGAGCAGAAAGCAGAGCAGTAGATCAGGCAGGGGAAGGGGACCATGCTGGCACTCAGGAAGGGTGCGGGACTAATTTGTGCCATGCCTTCCACAACGGCTGGCTCCCACTGTTTGAGACTGGGGCCCCCGTCTGCGCTATAACCCCTGGCTGCCTTGTCCCTAGATCTAGCTGCAGTGAGCGCAGAAGAGGCCACTCCCCTGGAGAGCCCTGCGGGGTGGTGAACCTGGCCTCTGTCCTTGCTGGGATGGCTGAGTGCCTGCAGACCTGGGCTCTGCCTCTCTCACCTCACCCAAGTGCTGGGTGCGGCACCTCTGCCCACGGGGCCATGGCATCTGCATCCACAACTCATTGTTTGTAGGGTGGTAGTGCTGGGGACCACAACCCCACATGGCTACAGGTAGATGCAGCCGCATGGGGATATATACATGGGTTGCCACGCTGCCAAAATATGTGAGAACAAGAAAGATCCGATGTGTCTCATTAGAATATAGTAATGCAAGTGTAATGTTGTAGCTGTGATAGCCTAAAAATGATGCAAGAGGTGAGGATTTCTTAGGGTGATGTCTTTATTGGACCAACTATGTCTTTGGGATAAAGTTGGACAAGCGTTTTAATGAACAGATGGACATTTAAAACCCTGTCTAACTTTATTCCAGCTACGTTGTTGGTCCAATGTTCGCCCTAAGAAATCCTTGTCTCATTGAAATATACTGAGAGAGCACTCAAGAGGTGCTTGAGAGACTGCATGGATGGTCATCCCAAATGAGGGTTACCCAAAATGAGGGTGTCTCCTTTAAGAGGGTGGAGGGAGGCCTGGAAGGCTTGCTAGTGGCTGCCAGTGCACCCACAGCTTTCTGGTGCCAAAAATATTACTGACATAGGAACCTACAGAGCCCTCCGTGTGCCTGCCCTCGCCCCTGTGTTCCTCAGCCGCTGTCTCAACTCAGGACCCGCAGCCTTTTTTCCCCATTCTGGGCTCCAGAGTTATGCTCTCAACCTTCCTCCAGCTTGCTGGATTTTCGCTCAACTTGCCCTGCTGTTCAAGGGCTCTGCCTCAGGCTTTGGTGCCTCTGCTTTCCAGAGAGCAGGGCAGTTCCAGTGCTGCCGTGGCTTGCTTTGTGAAGGGAATCATTTGCCTTGGGTATTTGACCAAACTGGGGAAGAGAAAATGAACTAAGACCTAGTGCTATTGTCAGCTTGTTACTAACTCAGCCCTCTCTTAGCCCCGGCCTCCACTCCATTCCTGCAGCATCCCCAGTTTTCTCAAACTCTATCCTGTGTCCTGCAGGTCTAGAGAGTTGCTGAATCACTCCACACAACATGGTCTCTTGGTACTCCAGCCCTACACTCCTGCATCAAGCTCTGAGGTTGGCCTCAGGTCCCCAGCCCAGGCCCCTTAAAGTGATCAATGGTCAGCCCCAGACTCTACTGCAGAGCCCTACCCAGAGCTGACTTTCAAAGACTCTGACCAGTTGGCTGGCCCAGAAACACCTGTACTCAACACTAGCAAGATACTGTCTTTGTGTGTGCTGCTGATAACAAACCAGCACTTTACCCAGCTTAGTTCTTTCCAGTCTCCCTTCCAAATCAAACATTGTCTACTGGCCAAAGCACAGTGTTGCCGGCATAACTGTGTCTATGTGAGGGGGGCTTCTATAGGCACAGCCCTGGTGATCATAGATCATCTCCTCATCTTCCTGCCTGAAATAGTTAAGCCAGGCATCAAGTGTAGATTACTGCATGTGCCCTTTTGCCATCATAGTTACTGTGATGGGATTGTGCAACTGAGTCACTACACTGCAAAGGGCCATCTCTGATCTTTTACGTGCTCGGCTACAGCAATTTAATATGTAAATAAGACGTCGCACATACCTTGTGCTTCTGCAGGTCCATACCTACCCTTGGAAATCTGGCTTGGGAGGGAGTGTCCCTGTTATTACATGATATCACCGTCTTCTGCAGTTAGGCAATAGCTAGACAGTTTGGGTTCAAGCAGGGTAATTATGAGCATAAATCACAATTTTACAGGGGCTTCGCCTGTCTCCGTGAAGGGCTTGCATCAGCTCAGGTACATTCCAGTGGCTGTCACAGAGATAAATCTTTCACATAGATAAACCTAAGGTGCCTCCAGGCTGATTGTGTAAACAAACCTGCCTTAGAGAGCCAGTGCCCCCTTTGGATAACATGCAGGCATCGGGCTAAACTCTGACTTTCAGCTCATCCAGGTTAGCAACACAGCCCTGCCACATTCAGCTTTTCCAGCTTATTGAGCGTGGCTCCTCTCAGCCAGCCCTGAGGATTTTCCTGCCACCTTGGTGATGGTGATGTACAGGATACTCATGCATCTAGTACAGTCACCAGCTGGGGAGTCTTCACTAACTGGTTTCCCATTCCAGTGCCCACTCCCACACTTTGCCCCCGATTTGCTGTTCCTGGAGGACAAGGTGTAGGCCTCTGCCCGGTCCTTATAGGACCGTTCAGTGCAATCCCAGGCTTGGCTCTGAAGCTTTCGTTAATCAGAACTGAACGAGATGCCACGGTAGGAAGAAAACATCCCCTGTAATGAGTGTCAGGGACAGGCAGGCAGGACAGCTGGGTTTCATCCTATCTCTGGAAAGCAACAGAGTTAGAACCAAGCTTAGGGACCTGGCATTGATAAGAGACCATTACTGCTATTTTCTTAGGTGCTGCACAAAGGCAATTCATATGCACACGCAGTCTGAGGTGGACTTAGAAACATCCGTCCCAAGACCTGCTAGTGAGACACATAATGCTGCCCCCCTGGGTGTCCATCCAGTAGCCACTAAATAACTAAGATCTTGTCCCCAGGGGCACTAGTGTACATCTCCAGTGGTTTCTTTGGTGCTATTCCATTCCGGTTCTGTGCTGCATTCATCGTTCTGGCATCTAGGCATGTGGCAGGTTGTCTGCCCTGGCATTGTCCAACGGACCATTTACACAATAAGTGGGGTTGGGGTGCAATGAGAGGAGACTATCAGAAGGTATAACAGAGAGCATGACTTGGGTTGATTACAGCTGTGCTGCATCAGGCTGGTCACTCCTATATACCTCCTGATTGGCTGAGGACAGCAGGGCCCCCACTTATGCTGACCTGGGGCAGTAGTCAGCAGGTTGTCCAAGAGATTTTATTCAAGTGCTAGTTACTGTCTTCTTGGACAGGATGCTCCAAGCTCCTTGACCCTGGCTGTTTGATCCAGTTCCCAACCTCAGCTCTTACCATTGGGTCTGAGTATTTGTGACTGCTCATGCCCAATGGACATTATAATCTGCCTACCATCTGATACTCCAGGTAATCTCTCTACCATTTACCAGCTACATTTTATCTCTAAGTCACCATTTCCCTCCCCCACTCCACCACCTGTTTCTAACCCATTATCTCTCACCCCCTCTGACTCTCACTGCCACATTTGCATTTTCACTGACCTGCATTCCT